AATTCATACCAGCCTCGGAAAAATAGACAATCTGACAAAATAGACAAGATGCAAATAAATTTATGCGATGATATTCCTGTCTGCCAAAATAGAAGATACATGTCTTTCGCGGAACAAAAAATTGTTGACGATCAAATTAAGGAATGGCTGAAAGAAAAAATAATAAAACCTAGCAACTCTAACTACGCAGCTCCTATTGTTTTGTGTAACAAGAGTGATAATTCTAAAAGATTACGCATCGATTATCGGAAATTAAATAAGAAGATTATTAAAGACAAATTTCCACTGCCTTTAATTCCGGAAGTACTTGATCGTTTAGAACAGTCAAAGGTCTTCACGACACTAGATTTGAAAAATGGCTTTTTCCTATGTAGACATAGATGAAAACTGCACCAAATATACCGCAGTTTGTAACGCATAATGGTATTTATGAATTTCTTAAAGCTGCTTTTGGTTTATGTATTCAGTCTAAATTGTTTTTCAAAGGTATATTTATTCAGTATTTCGTGACTTGCTAAATGAGGGTGTACTAATTATTTATATGGATAATATAGCCATACCGGCTAAAGATGAAGTTGAATGTTTAGACAAATTAGAAAGAGTATTCAAAACTGCTTCGGAGTATGGATTACAAATAAATTTCAAAAAGTGCCAATTCTTAAAACGTAAAATTGAATTTTTGGGACATGTAGTTGAAAACGGAACTATTCGACCATCACCTTCCAAAACTGTTGCTGTTCGAAACTTTCCACAACCGCGTAACTGTAAACAACTACAAAGCTTTTTAGGACTAACAGGTTATTTTCGTAAATTCATTCCTCATTATGCTAAAATAGCTAAACCTCTTAGTGAATTGCTTAGAAAAGGTATTGGTTTTAAGTTCGATTCCGAACAACAGGAAGCTTTTTGCAGATTAAAAGAAATTCTCTCTCAAGCACCTGTTCTACATATATTTAGGCAAGGATATCCATTAGAACTTCATACTGATGCTAGTAGTCAAGGCTTTGGTGCGGTATTACTCCAATTGTCTGACAATGGTAATTATCACCCAATTCAGTATATGAGTAAGAAAACTTCACCGCAGCAAGAGAAACTCTGTAGCTACGAATTAGAAGCCCTTGCAGTTATAGAAGCTCTGAAGAAATTTCGAAACTATTTGTTAGGGACTAAATTCAAAATTGTAACTGATTGTAGTGCTTTTCAGAAAACTTTAGATAAGAAAGATTTAATTCCTAAAATTGCAAGATGGGCAATGTTTATTGAAGAATTCGATTACGAAATTGTACATCGTTCAGGAAGCCAAATGAAATATGCTGATGCTCTAAGTAGAAATGATCTAATTTTAACATCATACACATCCGATGTAACTGAGAAGATTCGGTTAGCACAACAACAGAATGAAGATGAACATGTGAAATTGATAAAGAATTTAGTTGAGAAGGGAGAAGAAAACGGATTCTTCTTGAGAAATGATATTTCGTACAAATTTGAAAATGGTAAAGATCTGCTAGTAGTGCCAGAATCCTTACAGAACGAAATCATACAGAAGGTACATAAAAAAGGTCACTTTGCCGTAGATAAAACTGTGAATGCTGTAGAGCAGGAATTCTATATTCCCAGACTGAAATGCAAAGTTGAAAAAGTAATTGCTAACTGTATAGAATGTATACTGTACGACAAGAAGGAAGGAAAAGCAGAAGGATTTCTTCATCCTGTACCGAAGGAAAACATTCCCTTGAGTACGTATCATATCGACTTTATTGGACCGCTTCTATCGATGAACAAGAGATACCAACACATTCTGACTGTTGTCGATGCTTTTACGAAATTTACTTGGTTCTATCCAGTGAAATCACCAACTACGCAAGAAGTTATTTCAAAATTGAAGCAACAACAGACTGTATTTGGAAATCCAGCCAGAATCATTTCAATCGAGGTAGTGCCTTTACATAGAAAGAATTCTCAGCGTATTGTACTGAAGAAGTTATAGAACATGTCAAAATTACTACCAGTATTCCAAGAGGTAACGGACAGATTGAGCGAATTCATAGAATTTTGATTCCTGTTTTGTCGAAATTATCACATGAAGATTCAACGAAATGGTTTAAGTATGTTTCAGATGTCCAGAGAATAATCAACAGCACAACTACGAGTAGTACAAAATATTCACCGTTTGAGCTTCTCATAGGCACGAAAATGAAGAATAAAGAAGATCTGAGAATTAGTGAGATATTGAATGAAGAATATTTAAAGCAGTTGATGCAAGAACGTGATGAAATGAGAGAAGATGCGAAAAACAACATTTTGAAGATACAAGAAGAAAATCGAAAGCAATTCAACAAAAAACGTAAGAAACCGAAACTGTACAAGATTGGCGACTTGGTAGCCATTCAGAAAACTCAATATGGGACTGGCTTGAAACTACGACCAAAGTTTCATGGACCGTATAAATCTGTTAGACCAAATGACAGATATGAAGTCGAAAAAGTAGGATGCCATGAAGGACCGAATTTGACATCTACTGCGGCTGACCATATGAAGCCATGGTCAAATTGATTTGATGTTTGTATCAGCTCAAAACCTAAAGACCTGATACTCTTTTTTTTTTTTTTTTTTATTATTATTATCTTTGCAGGTACATGATAGTGATGTCCATTCAATAGACATCGAGGACGATGCCTCTTCAGGCTGGCCGAAGCTGTGGGAATCATCAACGCCCGATGCTGAATTAGAATACCAGCTGACGTCATCAGCATAGCTCAGCACGAATCATTCCAGACAGCGAGATATAGCCTCCAGACGTGGTCGAGAGTGGAGCGTAGATGCGAGCAGACGGCTCGTATGCCTTCAAGAGTTGAAGAAGACAGACGGTCTTCTTTTGATTTTTCACCTTTAGCTGTGATGACTTTAGATGATCATACTATTTAAAACTAGCTGGGAACTAATATATTCTATCAACGCCGAAGGAACTCTGTGTGAAAGGACTGTCTGTGATTGTGCATCATTACATAATCTTTACTTAGTTTATCTTTATTATTTTTATTTCTTATTATTAAAATAAAAGCATGTACAATGCCATGATCGTGCTCTCATGCTCTTATTTAAAAAGAACTCTACATACATAGGATTTTATTTCCCCCCCCCAAAAAAAAATTAAAAAACATATAAAAATTATCATTTATATTATCACATGGCTGTTATGAATTTTTTAGTGCGATGACATATAAATTTGAATATCTGCCTACTTAAGAGGCTGTGGCTAGAGTTTTAAAAATATCCTGTGTATACATTGAAGCTTCGTAACGTCATGCACTGACATAATATTGATTGTCAAAGCTTAGGAATGTCTGCAATTCTTCGTCTTTTCTTCCTTATAACTCTCTTATTCTGCACGTCGTCCTCATCTTCATCCTGGTCCACCAGCGGCTGACCGGTAAAATCGCTGAACACTGGTAGTTCCAACCTGGGTTCGAATCCAGAAGAACGGGTTTTCTCCATGTGTAACATGTACACAAAATCCGTTTTCCTTAGAAATTCCTGCACGAAGGCATCCCTCCTATCAGACAGATATCCTTTATGTGCGTTGCGAAAATAAACTCAATTTCTCATTTCTCAGTATATGTCCGGTTATTTCATCGTCATCTTAAGAAAGTGAGCCAGGAACATAATTATCTACATCCATCCAAGTCTGCACTTCTACCTCACTAACACTAATTTCTTTAAGACGTTGGATAACGGATGACAGACATGTTATAAAGCCAAGAAAAATCTTCGTCACTCGACTCATCGTCTATAGACATGACCATAAATCTATAGTGTCCAATTATTTCGCCATCATATTAACAGAGTATGACAGAAAGAGTAATTCCTACATCCAACCGAGCTTACGTTTCCTCTTTACTAATACTAGCCTTCTTCGAATATGTAACAAAATTTAAGATATCGGCAACGGGTGCAGGACGTGTTTAAAAATCAAGAGAATCTTTGTCACTCAACTCATCATCTACGGTTGGTTTGGTTTATTTAATTATGGCAAAGCACACTAGGGCTATCTTCCTAAGGACAGGGAAGCCTTCGTGGAGGACTTTCTAAGGGAAACTGGCTCGTATACACGTTACACATGGGGAAAACCACGAAAACGCCCATGCAGCCAGCCCGTTCGTGGGATTTGAACCTCGGACCGAACTACCAGTGTTCAGCGACTTTACCGCTCGGCCGCTGGTTAGCCCATCATCATCTACGAGAATGGCCAAATGTCACAATTTGCACCAACCGCGACGTAAAGTGATGTATTTTACATCTTTCCTGGCAAGAGTTAAATATGGCGTCTTTCAACGTGAAAACGTGGACAGTACCTTTAAAGTTCATACATAGATACATATAAAGGTATTGGTAGTATCTTTTTATATTCGGGTTAATTGCATGGTTCAAAAGCTTGTTAGGCTGAGTGCAAAACACAGCAAAAATGCATTCCATATTCAATGGGAATTTTCTCCAAAAGAAATAGACACTATCTTCAAGTTTCAAACATCGAAGAATAAAATGCGATCAGCAATTTATATACCATATTTTAGTTAATTCGTTGGTAGGATAAGGCTTGTTGCTTTGGGCAACAGAAACATAACAAAAGTGTTTCCCATACTGATGTGTTCAGGTTTTTAGCCAATACATATTTTTTTTAATCATTGAATTTAATTTCGGATTTCAATTCAGACCTTCAAAAGCGCCGTTATTTTACATTTCCGATTAACTGAGTTCAAGTTCAAGGGATTTTGTATGCTGTCGAATGCTCGCTCATGTTTGCCTATCATATATGATCACAAATAAATTTTAATGAATCGTGATTTTAATTATCAAAAGATGTTCCGTTAGTGCTATTTTTTACATACCAAATTTCGTAATATCACATGAAAGTATTTCACTCTAAGAGAATGTGCTTACCTATTTATTTTCTCACGATACCATTTCTTACTAGAACCACAACTATTTATGTTACTTACTGGTACTATATTCCGAAGTAGTAGGCCCCAAATCCAGCGTGAATGACTTGCTGCATGTGATGCCATTCGTTCCACATGGCACATTTTGCACAGAAAGAGTAAAAGAAGCGCCCTTCATCTTGCCCTTACTAAGAATATATTCGCATTCCCCTTGAAAATCAAAGATCTTTCCATCATAGGTCTTGAAGTGAGATTCGCCCCATGAGGAACAAACACCCGGACACACTTTCTCGGTGCACTGCCAAGAACCCTCTGAGCAGAAGCTAGAAAGATTTCACATATTTTATTCTATTACATGTGATAAATTAGAATAATGCTTTCAAAATGTTAATGTTTTTAGTAATACGATTCTTTAAATAACGTCAAGATAACTCATGCAAAAATGAAGTTTAACTCATTTTCCTCTGTAAAAATATAGCCGAAGTTATGATGATTAAGCGACACTTTCTTTCATTCTGTTCTTTTCTCCTTCAGCCGACCTGTATATACATAGGTAAGGTAATGCTTCGGTCCAAAAATTCAATAGTGAGCTTTTAATGAATGAGCACGGATTAGGGGTCCAACAGCATATTTTTATTATTTTTACAGTGATAACTCTCTATCTGTGTGTCTATGTGTGTGACAAGGTTTTCGCCCACGATTAACTTTACATAAACTTTCCATCTTGCCTATTTAAGCTTTGTACATTCACAGTTGAGGAAGTTGATTAGATTTTGGATAAAACTGAACAACCGGAAGCGGTATTTTACAGGAAGGTACAGGGAACATTTTTAATACAAAACTATAATAAAATATAATAAAGAGCTTTTTAAGTTTGATGTTTAAGATTTTCTTATCATCGGAAAAAACATATTAGAATTTGGCTGAAATTGATTAAAATGGAAGTGATACTTTCCTTGAAGCTCTGATCAGCCGTTCGTAAAAAATTATATAATGAGATAATCCCAGACTTCTTATGACATGATATTTGGTTTTTAAAATAAATATGTGAATGAGAACGACTTATTGCATTAATGAAAATTAAATGTATTCTTGGAATTATGCTAAATGCAACAAGAATAAGCCCATTGTTTAAGATGAGCTCTCGTTATGATGCAATTAAAGGATCTTAAGATCACAATTTTATGTTCGCCTCCCTTTCGTGTTTGTTAAGGGCCCTCCCTTTTGAAACACGTTTTAAATAAAACGATACCTACCACCGTATATTATCGCTATATGTTAGTTTTTAAGAAATAATACGGCAAATATAAGTAGTACAGCGAATATAGAACTACATTAAGGGTATGCTGCTTTTAAAATTGTTGAGATTGTTAAATTATTGATTTGTGAATCCGAAAAACTATATGATCAAAGCACTATACATCAAAACATGAGAGGAGACGTGTAGATGATTACCTACAGTTATCACTGTCCGTTGTCTGGAAGAAAAGATGAAAAAATGAATGGTGTTTATAATTAATATTAGCAATAAACTTTATTAACAAGTAAGATCTTATTTAAAAACGAACAACGGTAAGTGACAGTTTACTTAAAGCTCGTCGCTATTCTGACAGTTTCATGACCTTACTGAATTTCATGTCTTAATATGGAATTGAAGGGAGGTCTTTTGCTGGTCACATAAGATTTTTTTCTTTTTATTTAAAGATAAAGCGATACTACAGAAAACAAATCACCAACTAGAGGTTCCAGCTATATATGTTAAAGAAAGCAATATAGTGAAACTTTGGTTCATGAACGTCTTGATTTATGAAAAGTTTACAAGCAAAAAATGTCTTGGATGATGAATAATATGTAATGGCAAGCCAGCAGCAGCAGTAAGCCAGCAGCAAATCAAATGATATTTCAAAATACACTCTTTTGCAAAAACATCGAAGCACCATGAAGGAAATGGTTGTTTTTGATGAAACTGAATATGTGTACAGCTCATTGAGCTGTTAAAGATGTACTGAGGATGACTAAAGATGACCTGCTGTCATAAGAACCACACCATCACATCAGGGGTTATGGCTGCATGCCTTTGTAAAACAAAGGCTGATTGGAACCGCTGGCCCCGTCCTCTCCAGACACGAACACAGTGATCATCTGATTCGAGAGTGACTACACTGAAGTGACAAAAGTCATGGGATAGCAATATGCAAATATACAGAGGGCAGTAAATATCGCGTAGAAAATGTATAAATGCGAAGTGCTTTGGCAGGGCTTTCATTTGTGTTCAAGTTATTCATGTGAAGAGGTTTTGACGTGATTATGGCCGCACGACGAGAATTAACAGACTTTGAACGCGGAATGGTAGTTGAAGCTAGACGCATGGGTCATTCCATTTCGGATATCGTTAGGGAATTCAACATTCCGAGATCCCCAGTGCAAGAGTGTGCCGAGAGAGTATAATTTCAGGCATAACATCCCACCATGGGCAGGCGCAGTGGCCGATCACCTGCACTAAACGACGAGACCACCGACGTCTGCGTAGAGTTGTCAATGATCACAGACAGCAACACTGGTCAAATAACCCGCGAAATCAATGGTGGGACTTACGAAGGACGTGTCCGATAGGACAGTGCGGCGAAATTTGTCTTCCTTGGGCTATCCAGCAGAAGACTCGAGTGCCTTTACTGACAGCACGACTCGCCTGCGGCGACTCTCGTGGGCTCGTGAACATATCGGTTGGTCCCTAAACGAATGGAAAAAACCGTGGGCTTGGTCAGAGTCACGATTCAGTTGGTAAGAGCTGATGGTAGGGTTCGAGTGTGGCGCGACCCCACGAAGCCATGGACCCAAGTTGTCAACAAGCACTGTTCAAGCTGGTGGAGTTCCTAATGGTCTGGGCTATTTTTAAATGGCATGGACTCGGTCCTCTGGGCAACTGAACGATCATTGACTGAATGGATACTTTCAGCTACTTGGAGATCACTTACAGCCATTCATGGACTTCACGTACTCAAACAACGATGGGATTTTATGGATTACAATGCGCCAGTCAACATGGCCACAATTGTTCGTGATTGGTTAGGAGAACATTCTGGACCTTCCAGCGAATGATCTGGCCACCTAGATCGCTCGACATGAATCCCATCGAACATTTATGGGACATTATCGAGAAGTCAGTTCGTGCCCAACACCGTCAACATTTTCACAATTATGGACGTCTATACAGGCAGCATGGCTCAATATTCCTGCAGGGGACTTCCAACGACTTGTTTAATCCATGCCACGTCGAGTTGCTGCACTTCGCCGGGCAAAAGGAGGACCGACAAAATATTAGGAGGTATCCCATGACTTTTGTCACATCAGTGTATACGATGCCAGTCTGATGGCAGTCATGATGATCGACTGTGACACCACTCCAAACGACTCCGCCGATGTTGCGGGGCCAAAGGCAAACGTCTTAAAGGCCTCTTGAGCGTAACCCCACCTCAGACAAGCGCCGTGAGATGGTGGACGGTACCACGGGAGGTATAGACGTGGCTGTAGTGCCTTGAATAGTCGACAATGATACCGTTGGGGCGGTTCGGGCCTGACGAACAGTCATCCTATCTTGCCTAGCATTTGTGCTCTTTGGCCTTCCAGAGCTTTCATTTCGTCAGCAACCATTGCTGCCAACATCTTTGCACAGCAGGTGGCGGCCTATTGCTCGGTATGACCACCCAGCTTCACGCAACCCTACAATGCGACCACGTTCGAAGTCGTTTACTTGTCTGTAAGGTCTTCGATATCATCGTAATGGCATCTTTATTTGCTTCTTTACAGAATTACAATGGCAGCAACAAAAAAAGAGAAATTTTCCGTCTCTGTTACTGGCTCCGCAAAATATAAACTTTGCGAATTGCGCACTAGAAATGTACGCAATGATAGGAATTCCTGTTCATTTGCCTTGAAACTTTGATCCATTTGCATGTTCTATCAAGATGTTTTTGCATACCAAATTTCCTTACGACCGCAAAAGTCCTTCTTGGTGCTTCGAATTTTGCAAAAGAGTGTATATTTAATGTAGTTGGAAGGAAGGTCTTCAGGAGAAGAATACAGAAGTGTAGGTACTCCTAATTTAACTGATCCGCAAAATTTGTGCAAAATGGGGTAAGATGCTAAGGTTCATAGAACATTATTATCCTGATAAAGCAGTAGTAAGCCATTTGGAATGACAATGAAATGTCTTGCATTACATGCCACACCTTGCTTTAAAAACATTTTGAAAAATAGACAGAAACAAATCACAGTGGATAAATTTTTAATGGGGGGAAAGACTTAAAGTTTCTCAAGTAGAGAGGACTGGTGCTAGAAGAAAAGAAAATAGAAAAACTCAGAAAGACAGACGCTAGCTGATATTTTTAAGGAACAGGAGTTTCCCTTCAAACAATAAAGTTCTGTACTTTGCTTTTTATGCGTTTATACTTCTGTCGTCAACCTTCCTTCCTACAGACAAGGTAAAATTTAATTCAAGTTTTTCTATTTTATGCTTAGTATTGTGTTAAATATAGTGTATAGGATAATATAGTGTATTTTTTAGGTATTATGAATTTCATTTTAGGTATTTTGTAATGTTGTGAACTTACATTACAAAATACTCTTTCCTAGACAATCCTTTGGAATCCGGGAACGGATTAATTCATTTAGGATTCATTTAGGATTTTAATTCATATGAGGAAAATTGCTTTGGTTTATGTTTTCGGATGCCGAACTGCCTTCAGGAACGAATTAAGGTTTCGCTGTAAGTGGTAGCAAAAATTGGCGTAACACAAGTAAGTTGTAGTGCTGCATATTTACATTTTACTGTTATTTTTGTTATCTGTTATCTTTTTTTATCTGTTACATTTTACAGTTTATTTTTGAAACCTTTTTTTCCAAATATTTTTAAAGCACTGCATGAGCGTTGACGGAAGTGTGTTTCTAAAGCATGCAGTATTTTGAAGATGGGTGTATATTTAATGCATTTTCGTATAACCACATTTGGAAATTAATACGTGCCACAGTTGCACCATATTTGGCCTTTCTAAGCATTCCTTTGTAATTAGGGAAGGGATTAATTAATTTTACATTAATTCCTATAGATAAAATTGCTTTGGTTTGCGTATATTTCGGATGTCGAACTACCTTCAGGAAAGAATTCTGATTTCCTTATACCTGATAACAAAAATTGAGGTAACGTAAGTAACTTGTAGTACTGCAAATTTACTTTTTACTGTAATTTGTTTCTTTTGAAAAAACCTTTAAAAAAAACTTTTGAAGTACTGGATGAGAGTTTGTAGGAAATGTGTTACGAAGAAATGCAGTAGTGGCTTTATATTTAATGCATTTTTCTGTCATCACATTTGGCTATGCGATACCATATCTGCAATATTTTGGAACTATTTGGAGGTATACCATATGCAAACATTTATGGTAATAATTGTTTGTTTTAATTAAAATTCATAAGAATCGAAAAAAAATTCGAAATATTTATTGCATTTTTGTTATAATTCTTTAATTTCACTTTACTTTCAGATTCAAAAATTAAACTTATCAGAAGTTCCGTCTCATCATTCTGTAATATTTTTCTCGCTCCTTACCGCATGCATGCTTTCCTGCTGTAATTGGAAAACACTTCCAGCTGGCAATCGGAATATCAGGAGTTCGTGTATCGGCAAGAGCAATGCACATTTGTCATGTTTTCTGCTTCAGTAAAGCTAATGATTTGACAGTTCAACTGAGACACATGCATTCTTAGAGAAATTTTTGCGTGAACAACGAAACAACTACAGTAAAATTCTGTAATAAATATGTAATGAGCAAATGAACTTAAAGAAAATAAAAATAACTCGAAATATTTCAACGCAAAGAACTAATTAATTAATTATACCTAAACACACGAGTGTTATCTACTTAAGACCAACTACAGACTGGGGAGATTGCAAAAAATTATTTATATGTGAACTCAGACAAATAACTTATGATGTTCTCGAATATTTTATCTAGATATAACGTCGAGAAACCTAGTGAACTAAGTAGCGAATTATCGCTGAGTTCAAGTATCTACAACGTAAAGACTCGAGAAGGATTGAACTACCCTTTTATTCACTCAAAGAAATAATAACATAAGCCCCTTCTCGGCCTTTTAAATCAGGATAAGAATTTAATAAACTAATCTAATACTAAACTAAATAGAATTAGCCAAAGCTAGACACAAATACCTAGCGTAGTTAGCCCTTAAATTAACCGGCTGGCGATTCTCAACAGACGCGTAGTATACAGCCGAGCGTATCAAGAAGTAGCCAGAAGGCAAACACGTGCCAGTAAGGACTCCTAAGCACTTTTTTCGAAGTCCAATTCCAGTTGCCGCTTTCGCCGCGTCTAGCTCGTCAAATATGGAAGCTGTATACCGGATATCGTAACATAGATGCTTCAAGGAGTGATGCAAGTATAGAAATGTTTGAGTGGGTCCAAAGAACAGGATGAAAATTAGAGAGGGCGTGTCTCCTTTGTCACGTGAGGGATGTGAAAAAACACATTTTACAGAATACAGTACGTAAAACAAAAAATACACATTTTCCCCAGAAAATAGACCACTATTTACATAATATTTACAAGTATATGCCATGCTAAAGTAGCAGAAAGTCCTACAAAAGTAGGAAAAAGATTTAGAATGTTTGAATTTGCACAATATAGAGTTGTAATAACAGTTTTAAATTATGTGTACCTTAAGCCGTGAAGAGGGCGCAAGTGCCGATGTTCTTGCAGAATTCCGTAGCTGAAGAGATTAAATGATTGACAATGTTGTAATCTTGTGAGTCTTGATAGACTTGCTTATTAATCTTGCGTAAGAACTTCGCTAGGGGTTCTACTTTGAGGTCATCATGAAGACACTTATTGCTTACAAAAAGTGGATATATGTGATGATACGCAGGTATCTGTTCTGCACCACTTGTAATTGATTAAGTTCCTGGAGAGTAATTGTCGTCCAGATTGGTGAAGCGTAGGTCATTATTGGCCTAATAACATAAAGACAAATGGGTCTCTTCTTATCCAAATTTAGTGAAGAATATTTTCCAATGATGGGGTAAAGACATTTAATGATTTTTAAAGCCCTGTGTCGCACGTTATTAACGTGGTGAGTCCATGTGAGGCGATTGCCAAATAATATTCCAAGGTATTTTGCTTGAGAGACGACAGGAACAGGTTCATTGAAAAACGTAAGCCCTTTTTCGAGCGGAACGATGCTTTTCCGTTTCCGAATAATCAGAAATTGTTGTTTGGACGCATTGATTTGAACTTTCTACTGTGCATACTATTTTTCAATGTGGGGAATGAAGTTCCGAAGATTGCCGACAGCATGATTCACATTTGCGGATTTCACTCCGCATAGCAAGCTAAAATAGAATTATTTTGCTGAATATATTTTAAGAAAGAAGTGGAACTTCCTTTAAATACTTCTTCCAACTCATTTGCATTCAACGTGATTCTAAATCACTCTGGTAGGGAGTTGTAAGTAGAAAACAAGAATTGAAAGGTAAAGGTTTCGAATTTAAAAGTAACTGTTATAAAATTTAAATAACAAGAAGTACTGCTTACCATAAATTGCAGTGCTGCTTGATCGTTTCTCCTTCTTTGTATCTTCGCCCTGAATGTAAACAGCCACATTGAGTCTCTTTCACGCATGCCTTCAAGTCTGCATCTAAAATGAAGCCTTCTTTGCATCTTAAAAAAAAGTATTAAACTATAATTATTTTTGGAAGCAAAATTACATAGTATTTCTAGCACAATGTGATACAATAAAATTAGTAAAATAAATCTGAAAAAAGATGACTACATTTACTTCCTAATTACTTAATTTTTCGAGTAACGTTTTGTACGTTTCTGTTTACGGAGCAAAGGTCACCAAATTTACTTCAAAGCACCAAATGTGATAGCTTGTTTACATCGCTTCAGCATTGGCATCGTTTCGAACTAACGTGAAAATGAACGTCAGTCCAGAAATTTTCCGAATTAGATTTTCAGTTGCAGTTTTATAGAAGTGTAGATAGTCATTCTTCACCGAATTTGTTCGATGGCAAATTTCTGGAATTCTAAGGTGCGTTTCTTGAGCTAAAACAGTGTATATACAAAAAATAACAGTTTTGTTTTACCCATTCACACCGCGATCTGTTTTCTCCTAAAAAACATTCGAGAGCTGAACAAATTTGGCATCACGTACAATAAATATTATGCATAGGGTGGTTATAATTAAAGTTCCACTTTCAAAAGGTTGTAAGAGTCAGAATTATCTGAGATTTGACATAAATATGCATGAAGCAATGAGAATCTTTCAGACGAAAGAAAAAAATTTCAGAATTTCATCAATAGATGGCGTTGTAGTTCTCATAATATGCTAATTAAAAGATGGGACATGCGCACCATATAGTAGACCAGCGGTCGCCAACCGGTGGTCCGTGAAAACGTTTTGATGGTCTGCAGAAAAATTGGTACATTATTTATATTTTTATGTAGATTCAGCTTAAAAAATGACGAGTAACAAAACCTATTATGTGATTATTCTTTTTTTTTTTTTTTTTTTTTTTTATAATTTTATCTCCTACGAAGCGAATTCCTTCTGATTTGCGACAGTTTAGCTACTTTGCAGTGTATCTAGCACATTTGAAGCTAGAGTTTACCATGGATATGCTCTGTTATCATATACGAAACAAGCATTCGTTTTCTTTAGATTACAAACAATGTATTGTAGTCGTTAAAGCAAATTTTTTTCTCCTTGCAATAGGCAACTTGATATATTTTTTAGAATCATCTGCATTCTTGTTTATAATTGCATCATTGGAAGTTTTCGTTTTCGTTTTGTCTAACTGTTGATCTATGGCGCCATTGCTGAATAAGCGATGATTATTATGCTTACAGTAATTAAAAATTGCCAGCATAACACTTTCAGTTTATTGATATTGCCTTGCGTTTGCCGGCTTTTTCTTGCTTTGCGTATTAATATTTTGTTTTAAGGTCTGATTTAAGGGTTTTTTTAAATTCATATTAGTGGTCCGCCAAATATAAAATTATATATGTGGTGGTCCGTGAAGTTCTAAGGGTTGATGACCGCTCTATCAGACTTAAAAAAGTACGGAATGCGTTCAGTGTCCGTTGTTTTGCGTCCGAAAAGTTAGTAATGAGCCTGTTAATGAAGGATCGGGCTCTGCTTGTGAAGCTTTTTTACATGTCCTGAAGAAGTTCCGGACATTAATAAGATGCGGGTCTGCAATTTTAAGCATTGTTAGTACCTTGGAGATGGAAATGGCCTGCGTCTGTCTGCAAAATGTTCCATAGCCATGCATTCTCCATTTTCATCCAAGCAGGAAATGTCGAGTAAAAGTTTGTCGTATTGTCAGGTCAGCAGAAAGCAGCTCCTGACCGCTTGTAATTTTGAATGGATAGTAGTATGTTTTGTAAGACTTTACGAACCATGCTGATAGATGCGTCTAACGAACGGATAATTCCCCTTGCACTGCACGTTCTCACACTATTTCTCGTCTCTTCTTGTAACTTTATGGCCACATCTTTCCTTGACATCCTGCTTTCCCATCATTTTCACTGCCAGATTTTATGTCAAACGAACCGGACGGCCTCAACGTCACAGAAATCTAATCGTTAGTAAATTCAAGATAACAAAGTGGCCTTCAGGCAGGCTTAACATGCTCTAAAATCACCTTCAATAACCTTCCCTTAAATACTACCTACATCTTTCTAACTCATTTGAAAAAACGCGCGCTAACTCATTAACATTCTGCAAGAAAGCATGAGTTAAAAATGAGAATAAAAAGAAAGCTGCTTTAAAACAAAGTTAACTATTAGATTAATTACATGAATCTCCACAAGATGTTTAAATGAGAGGAAATAATATTAAAATCGGGTAGATTTTATTATTATTGTCTTGACAAGTGGTGACTCAGACCTGACAGAAAGGTGCATTTTGTTCTTGCATAAACAACGCAAAGTCATTTGTTAGGGTTTCACTCGATTGTAAAATCAAATTATATAAAATGTCAGTTCGGAAGAAACTTTGAAATTAAAGTACGAAGAATTTCAAAAATTAAATCGTTGAGTCTGTGGAGATTATACTAAAAGATGACGATAGTAAGGATGAAGAGTTCAAAAGCTAACGTAAGTTGGTAATAAGTTTTTTAAAGTTAAGAACATTTTTGTTAAACGTTTTAGAGAAAGAGAGGATGTTAATTCAGTTTTAGATCGTGAAAATGAAAAACCAAAGTTTCAAACTTCCAAAGCTTAAAAATTATGATGGAAATTTATTATCCTTTTGATCCATCTTCGAGAAAATTGATTAGTACGTGGATATCTACCCAGAATATAAGTTCCAGTCTCTTGGATGATGCATCTTGAGAGAAACTGTCCATATCTTTTGGCAGAGATTAAAATGTACGAGACCATATGAATTGGATGGTATAAACTGAAGTTGCTTCACTGCGGTTAATACAAAATGTTTGTTATTTGGTCATGTAAAAAGGAATTGTAAGAACGAAACAACATGTGTTCGTTGCTCTTTGCAACATTTGAAAAGTGAATTTACATATAGAACTCCTTGTTGTAGTAACTGCAAGTATTATAATAAGTATAGAATGAATTTTGATGTGCTCCATAATGCATCAGATAAAAATTGTTCCTCTCTTTTGACACATATTTAATATATACGAGACCATATACATTGGATGATATCAGCTGAATTTGCTCCACTGCGATTGGAATCAAATTTGTCTGTTTTATTCTTATCTTGTGATTTCCTTTGATCAAGATTTTTTTCGATCCAATCCTAATTTAGTCTGTGCCTAATAAAAACTATTCCTTGAATTTTAATCTACTTATCTGCAATCGATATACGAATTTACAACTCCATGGTTGCTATTTAGCTATTTAAATTTTTATGTCTCAGGTGATGATTTATATAGTTTTTAGTGGCAACACAGCTTTTAAAAGTAGAAAACGATTTTTATTTTGAAAAAGCATATCGCTTTTCTTGTAGCAACGGCGAAGTGTAAATGGATATATTATGTAAATGTTTAAGGGAAAAAATATTGAAATCGGGTAGATTTTATTGAATTCTTGATACTACTATTATTTTTATTGGATTATTATAAAAAATTTCAGATTTTCAATTGAATATTAACTCGATTCCTTTTTATCAAAGAAAATTTGGTACTTAATGTATTATCGCAACCATCTCAGTAGAAGTAGCCAAATTTTCAGAACGTGCCAAACTCTGGCAACCATGTGTATAACCATTCTTCCATCAACCATGCTCATAACAATCATTTCAGTCAAGCAACGCCGCCATTTTCGCATGCGTTCTATTTTGTTGTATTCCAAGTTCCAACGGTTTTTATACACCAATCGTGATATTTTTTGCCTCAAACTTTTGTATTAATCAGTGAAATCAGGAATTAATTTTAAATAACATTTTATTAACACTTAACATACAGAAAAGAATAAACAGAACATGGAATTACATAAAATAATTAAAGTTTAGGGAACGAGTTCAAACAATATAACAGTTCAGTTCTGCAGATCGCGTGGAACTGATTATTTTCTCTATATAGTCGGTAGAGGGCGTTGGTGACGATATTCATTAGTTGCAGTTTTAAAATATGACCTTGTGGAATTTGCTAGCGATGGAAGAAACTACTGTAAAACTCCGGCAGTAATACAGAATTTTGCTGAAAATTTTTTAAAGGGAACAACAAGGAAATGCGTTTTCTAGATATCCGCTGTTGCCGAAGATTACACGAAGCCGAGTCTCCGCAATTCTTTGATGTTTTTTTAAGTGAAAACAGATTGCTATGTACTTCGAGAGAAGAATAACGAAAAAAATTACAGAAAGATTCGAAGAAGAATGTAAGTGTTTTATTTTTTAATGTATGACATAATCCTTATTTAATAATTGAACTTTGTATTTTAAATTGCGTAAGTAGGTTTTCTTTTCCTATGTTGATATTATTAACCAAACTTATTATAAATATCGATAGTTTGGGAATCTTTCTAAAAAAGAAGGTGCGAAAAGCACCAAACTTGCACATGCTAAGTAACTTTTGCATTTCCATCTGTAAAAAATCGACATATTGCGCCAAGATGTTTGCAATAGTACGTAGGTACCGCAAATTTTAATTTTACCTGTTTTAAAATCACTAGAGAACGTGATTATTACTCCAAGAGAAATACAAAAATTGTACAGGATGTTATGAAAATTATAAACAACAATAAGGCTGGGATAGAAATTCAAAATTAATTAAGGGACTCTTCCTTTTTATTTGTGTGTATGGTGTTTGGTTGTGATATGTGTGTGCTTGAGATTATATGCTTTTCCTTTTATTTTATTTTATTTCAAAGCATCCCTTTTAACTTCTTTGTACGAAGTAAATGAAGTATTATATTGTAATTGCGAAAAATTTTGGGTGTCATATTTCAACGAAAATATAAATTTTTACGGCTCTTGAATTCATTTGAGCGATGTTTTTGCGTGACATCTGTACGGACGGACAGAATAAAGGACTTTTTTTTCCCTCCCTCCCGAAACGACTTCTAAAATGGATTCAGAGAACATTTTTTCGTAATGTCTCTGTGTTATGCACATATGTATGTATCTCGCATAACTCAAAAACGAGTAGCCTCAGAACGTTGAAATTTTGTACATGGGACTGCTGTAACATGTAGTTGTGCACTTCCCTTTTTGTTTGCAATCGACCGCACCAAAAGCATATAAATATAAAGATACATATATATGCGCACTCTGTTACCCGGCTCGGTGAGCTCAGTTATTTTATTCTTATATGTTGGTAAATTGAGCATTTTTTGCTTTAAAAGTCCTTATGTTGATCTTATGTTCCAGTTAATGTTATGCCTTTAATTAACCTTCATGCAATATTTGTAGAATTATCAACAATTTAAAAGTTGTTTAAGTGGTACAACGCCTAATGAAGCCGCTATTTGTTTACATATGGAACTCTTAGTGGAACAGTGAATTACGTCAGTTTCTGCCCCAACAAGTGTCTTTTTGCTGACTGGGATCAAAAGTAAGATTTAAGTTTTGTGAACCCAAAAATCTGTTTTCTTACCCGCTGGCCGAATTGATTGTGTTTACGTAGAAATTCTAATTTTAATAGTAAAAATTGTGTCTTTTTTAACTGTATTTGATGTTTTATGTTTTTCTGTATTTTTGCCTTCTCGCGAAGTGAGAACGGAATTAATTGAATGAGAACTATATCTCCAATGATATTCGAGGAAATAAGTTTAAATGAAATGCAGCAAAAAATGTGTGTAACTTACAAAACAAACTTACGCAAACGCACAAGGAAATCATTGTAGTATTCCATATCAGATTTTTGTGTTAAGTTTCTTTATTTTTCTCTCTCCTTTCCTTTTTGTATTCTTCTGGTGTTTTCTCGGGTGCAGCATTTTTTTTTTTTTTTTGCTATAAAGTGAATGCATAATCATTAGGCGGGCTGGACTGAATCCAGATTTTACTAACTAACCAACCACACTAAAGCTGAATATCTCGGAGTTTGAAAATTGCACATGGCAATCGTCTATCATTTTTCTCCAAAGATTGACATTTTACGAAATCTATTATAAGTTATTCCATCTACTGATTTCCCATTCTAGCAACAAAAGAGGGATTTAAAGCACTATGACCGTGGTGTTTCTTACAAGTATATATATCAAACATAAAACAGTTAAACGAGAATCGACAAAATCCTTCATCTCATTCATATGGTTACTAACATTTATTTGATTTTTAGTTAATAATATAAAGTTTATCCAAAGAACTTGAACTACTAATAACGAATATGAATTTTCTTTTATTAATTTAATAAAAAAATTAAACTAATTTTAATTAATTATATTTAAAAAATAAAAGCATGGTGGTAGTTATATATGCCAAAAAAATCTTTTCGAAGGTGACAAAAGTAAAGTGGAACATTCTGATTTATAAAACCGGTCACTATTTGAAAAAAGTTTGAGAAAAGCTAGCTTAGAGCGTTTAAAGTATAAATGCGATTTTTCTGTTAAATATCAGCCCACCAGCGGCCGAGCGGTAACGTCGCTGAACACTGGTAGTTCGGTCCGAGGTTCGAATTCCGCGAACGGGCTGGCTGCATGGGTGTTTTCGTGGTTTTCCCCATTTGTAACATGTATACGAGCCAGTTACCCTTAAAAAGTAGTCCACGAAGGCATCCCTCCCTTAAGGCAGATAGCCCTCGAGTGCTTTGCCGTAATCTAATAAACCAAACCAAATCTGTTAAATATCATGAAAAAATCAAGAAGGTAAATTTCTGTTTAAGCTGAACTTTCTGTATATTTGAAACTTCACAAATGATTCAAGAACATAAGATTAAATATGCTTTATCATTACCTGCATCCAGGTTTGCATTCTTCAGTTTTGCATCGCGGCGGGAGATGTGCATTTTGACAAGTTTTCGGACACGTTTCTACGCATTGTGTGAATTCTTCATTATTTTCAGCCAGGCATGTTTTGGCGCCAGTGGGTTGGTCTTGCACCATTAAGTCGGGATTCATGTACACCAGCTCTTCCAAGGTTCCTGGACGACATTCCCATTTCGCGCTCTGGCAGGTGCTTGAGAAAATAAATAAATAATTCAAATAATACAATAATAATAATAAAAATACAAGCACCCCCCCTAAAAAAATCTGAAAGTTTGCAGATTTTTATTACGTTTAAAGGGGCGTTTTTTAAACTTTTTTTGTGTTATCTTTATTTATTATATATCATGTTCTTTGCACTTAAACCGTAAAGTTCAGTTCAATAGCAATGTCGCAAAATAATTTTAAAATGAGCGTATCTTTAGAATTTCGGATACACAGTTCCGCGCGCTGGAGACAATTTTTTTTTTTTTTTTTTTTTCCCATAGCGTATTTCCATTGCTCACTTTGAAATCCTTGAATTTGCTACTCAAAAGTTTGTTAAAGTTTTACAAAATAGGAAAAACTGATAATAAAACAAATTCTAAATTTCAAATTTGGCCTTCCACATGCCCAGATTCGGAGGAGGATTACGTCATTCAAAATTCGATGGCTCTATATACCGTTGTTTTATCACAATGCGAGAAATATACATACATTTATGCAGATTTTTCCTTATTTAATTCCTTCAAATATAATGCAGAACTCTAACATTTGGTGGCAACAGTTTGAAAAGTGAAACGGACATTTACAGTGATTCAACGCAAAATCGCAAAACGAAAACAATAGTCCTTCAGGGACAAAGCCCCTTTGGACTAATAATGATTATCATAACATTTACAGTAGAAAATTTGAGGAGCTTGATGGATATTACGAATGAAACATTAGCTTTAACAAAAAAATAAAATAAAGTAATAATTACTACTTTTCAGTTTTATATTTCTTTATTTGCGATAAAGGCTGGCAAATCCTATTGAAAATTGTAAAACAGATATTACACTCAATTTTATAGCTATTTAACTCTTTATTTCCTTGTCTGAAATAAAGGAAATAGCGAAAAACCATGATATTTCAAAGGAAATATCCATCTTAACTTTTTCTCCCGTGATGTTTGTACTTACTGACAGGAAAAAGTACTCTTTTTTTCAAAAACGTATTGTAAAATGGATTGCAAGGGAAATTTCTCGTGATGCACGTATATGCGCATAACTCAATTAGTTGCAGAACAGTGAAATTTTGCATATGGATCTGCTATAGTATCTATTCGTTCACTTCCCTTTTTTATTATAGCCAGGACTACCGAAATATACTCTATCCCTTTACCTGGTATTGATTTTCGCAATCGTTGGTCTTAGTCAGATACTTCCAGATTCATCCAGATACTTCAGATTCATACAATCAAAACTAAACTTGTACAATCCTATGTTACGTTCACTTGGAACTTGATGATGCTATTGGCATTAGGTGATTCTGTGAAATATTGCCTTAAGGCGGCAGAAGATATTCGTTTTTAAGCATGCAAGCACGCCGCCTATAAGCCAGGAGAAAAAAAGGAACTAATCTGATATGCGCCCTCGAGTCGCCAAATTTCTCGCCAAACATTTTTTGCGAGAAACTCCACGTTGCCGTATTGCTATCTAAATTTTTTGCCTACATTTCGAACTTTAAGCCTAAAATGTCTCCAAAAACACGGTTTTCGCAAATGCAAAAACCATGTTTTGAACACACAATTTAAGCTAAACATCCGAAACAAAAACAAAAAATTTAGATAGCAAAACCGTAAAGTTTCTAATCAAAATTATTTGACAAGAGTCCATGTACACAGCGATATGTTTCAACTTAAAAAACATCTACGAATGGCACCATCTAGGCAACGAACGAATCTACGAACTACGCCCACCTCGCTTTAATAAATTAACATAACAACAATAAATTTCAAAGAATACCATGTATACAGCGTTCTGTTTCAACTTTAAAAAACATCTACGAATTGCACAATTTAGACGATATGCACTAATCAACAAAATAACTAAAATAAATTTCAAACAATTCAAAAAAACAACAATAACGACAGAAAGTCATACTCAAAAAACAATGAACATAACATTCTACAAAATAAGAACAAGAATAAAATAAAATGCACTTACCACGAATTAATGCTTTTTCGAACAGCAGAAATACCAATTTCATACCGCCTTTAACATACCGCCACGTTATCACTATCGTATTTATATGACACCAGACACACTATCCAGAAAATTCATATTATGGTTCACAAATAAATAATCACAAATAATCACAAATCCCTACTTCTAGCATGCACAGCCACTAAAAATAATCTCCCAGACGTTCATCTTTCCACATTTCCAAATACCCACTGCACCTCAACAGGATGGCCATGACGATATTTCCTTTTGCCGAACTTCAATTCAACAACTTCCACCATTTTATCTTTCCCCCCCCTAGCTTCTCAGACACAGAGCATGACGCGAACCGACGAACTCCAGCGAAAGATTTTTCAACGTCAACAGGGTTGCCATACAACACGCAATAGCGTCAAAAACCAGCGCAGAACACATAACGACACATTTGTTGAAATTAGGGCATATATCGGAGTTGTACCGAAAAAAAAAAAAAAAATTAGTGAAGCATGTGCTACTCTCTACCAGCACAAAGAAGGGCTATTTTTTTTTCAGGTTACATTTTTTGCTGTTGTCGAGCTGGAGACGTAGTAATCAGCACTTACTCTTCTCCTGTAAAATCCATACGTATTTCCGATACTTTTAAAAATAAATTCAGAATATCCGCCGGTGACTTTGCTTTCCTTAGTCCTTTTAGCAGAGGTGTGATTTCCCTCATGATAATCGTGAAATTCATGTTTGGTTTAATGTTTTCATCAGCTTCTGATATACCAGTTCTGATCATATCACTACATTTACTTCGGATCTGTCTGGTTAGGATTTTTAATACAGAAATTTTGGTGAGCAATGGGTAATTTCTGTTTCTCATTTAAATCTTTCTTTCTGTCTGCTTCTACTGTTTTTCTGGGTTTTGAAAGGTTCTTGATGTACTCTGAAGCTTTCACCTAACAATCATGGATTTTATACTTAATCGTTAAATACGTGTTGCTGTGTGTTTGTACGTGTGTACCTATTTCTAATTGTTAAAGAGTGATATCCGTCGAAAGAATAATGAATTGTAATCAGTTATAAAGGTTTATTCATCAATAGAAAGGCACAGGGGCCTGAAGGATCAGAGCTGTACGCTCTTGCTAGCGCTGATGGCTATTACAAAGAGATAGCGCAGGAGCCCAAAAGGAACAACCGTCTCCGTTCGCGGTCTGCAGAAGTTCTGTCGATTAAAAGGGGGCGTCGCAGCGCCCTCTAGTGAGAAGAATGTTGCAACAATAGGATGGGACGGCACATCCCGCCCCGCGTTAAAATATTTATATTTCAATACAACATAAGACTTATAACATAATGAAGTATAATATCATACTATTAAAATGAGAATTTCCATTACGACATAGTGAATTCTGGGATATAATAGAATAAAAATAGCATAAACATTTATACAGTTACAGAAAATGATAATATCTAATATAATATGATTCTACATTAATGAGGTTCATCAAATAAACATACGTATTATTATTCAATAGGTAGCAGACATATTTTGGATATGCACCTTTTGAATGTGCCGGTAGGAGTTCTAACTATAACTACTGTGACCTTTCTATCAAGTCCGGTTATAACTTCCTGTATACGACATGTAGCACATTTACAAGGAGGCAAATTATCTTCCTTGAGTAAAGCAAGGGCGCCAGGGTTTACGTTTATCTTGGCAAACTGCAATTTGTTGCGCTGCTGCAAGTGGTTAAGGTAGTCTCGATGCCACCTTTTCCAAATTGACTGAACCATCTTAGTAGTTTTTTGCCAACGAGACAGCCTATTTTCTTTTAGATGCAATACATCAGGTTCTGCCATGGCATTTAATGGGCGTCCAATCAGAAAATGCCCAGGAGTGAGGACTTCATAATCTGTAACTTCAGAGGATAATGGAGTTAAAGGACGTGAATTCAGAATTCCCTCTATTTGAATAGAAACAGTCAGAAACTCTTCTAGTGTAAGCTTAGCATTACCAACAGTTCGTTTCAGATGGTGTTTAAACGATTTAACGCCGGCCTCCCAGAGACCTCCAACAAAATTAGGGGCTCTAGGTGGAAGAAACTTCCAAACAATGCCTTCTGAAGCTAAATAGCTAGCTACTCCAAATTCTGATTGTGTTACCAACTTTTCCAACCGTTGTAATTCCGAACGTGCACCTACAAAATTCGTTGCATTGTCTGAAAAAATTGCTGAACTCTTACCCCGTCGGCCAAAAAAATCTTTTTAAGCCAGCAATCAAAGACTCAGAAGTAAGGTCTGTCAGAAATTCGAAATGAACAGCTTTAGTAGCAAGACAGACAAAAATACAAATATAAATCCTTTGCAAAATGCCCTTTCTCTGCCCCTTGTATTTGATTTGAAAAGGACCGCAAAGGTCAATGCCCGTATTGGTAAATGGCGGACTTGGTGATACTCTTTCAGACGGAAAGATTACCCATTAATTGAAGTCACTGCAGTGGGATGCATTTTAAAGCAAGTTAGGCATTCATGAACTACCTTTCTGGCTAAGTCGCGGCCATTGATAGGCCAAAACTGTTGACGTACACTAGGTAAAAGAGACTGCGGCCCTACATGTAAATCTCTTTTGTGGAAGTATTCCATTATGAGCTTCGTGAATCTACTGTCTGGGGGGGGGAGGATGATGGGATATTTTTGATTGTAATTCAAGTTGGAGCTACTTAAACGGCCTCCTACACGTATTAAACCTTTCTTATCCAAGAAGGGATTAAGAGATTTTAACTTACTCTTGTTGGAGACCGGTAGACCTCTTTTTAGAGCCGAGAGCTCTTCAGGGAAATACTGTACCTGCGAATCTCGAATGAGGGTATCTCGAGCCTCGACGTGTTCTTCTAAATCCAGGGGACCCTGACGTTTATGTTTGGAATTTCTGGCATTGTAAATAAATCTAAAAATAAAACTTAAAATTCTAATGAGTTTCTTATAATTATTAGTCCTGTTCATAAGTTCATTTAACATATCACTACTT